ATCATGCCGTGCTACGGATACGCCGAGACTATCAAAGCGCTGCAGCTTCACAGTCACACGCACAGACGTGGGATCGCCACATCTCGGGAACAACTAGACTATTGAAATCGCGTAGACTAGGGAGATGACAAGCAGATAGGGTCAAATGGTCTCTCAACATGCGATTACACCACTCGTTGAGGCTGGCCCCTGTCATAGTGAGGTGCCTATGATCCCGAAGTTACAACTCAGGACTTACCATCAACTAGATCACTAGTCAAGAAGCAGATCATAGCATGCAGAATCCTTCTCAACAACCAATCTTTGTATGGTAGACACCCTGCACTAGACAACCCTCACACCATGCCTCAGGACATGTTCGCCCTCTCCCTTTTCGCGCTACCAAGAGGAGGGTCGGAATCCTTCATCGTATAATCGTCTGTGCGATCGCCAACAAGAGAAGCGCGAGCGCCACCAGGTCAATGCGATACGATGGGCAACCTCCGATATTGGTTGTCATCGCGGCAAGCACATCTGCAGGTGACGAGTCACCAGTGTTGGTTACATTCATCCTATGGCTCAAGGCATCAATGCAGCAGCATCCCAGGCCAAAGACGCGCTTGTAAGCGAGATTGAGGAGATGCGGCCGTTGAAGTACGGCTATGATGCCGGCCATGTGGAGGATTGTTCCAGGGTGCCTGACAGTGGGAGCGAGACTAGCTGGGGACCAGAAGCGATGTCAGAAGAGGAGTGTGCTCCTTTCTTGCAGATGCCACCTCCACTCATTTGGAAGCAAGCCATGGAGAACTACATGTGGTAGCGATGGAGTCCATGGCGAAGAAGGGGTTATGGCTTCCCATCGTAACTGAGAAGTCCCTGACTCATCAAGGGTGATATATCTTTCCCACAGCTGACAGAACGGTTGTGTAAAGTCTACGGACTTATTAGGAGAGCCTGGACTGACTTCAAATGGCTTCACTAGTTTGCCCCGTGACTATTGCCTGCCATTAGAGTGCAAGAGATGTTGTCAGAAGTCAAATTCCGGTGCATCCCACAGGCATGGTACGGGCGTGAGATGAAAGGATCTTTGTTGGTATGCCTAGGTGCATGTGATATCTTCTCTGCTTTGCATGTGCTCCCCTAGAGATATTGGCGTTGCTTGCTGCCAATCGGAGCAGACGGCAACATTTACATCACCAACAGACACGAAAGCATCTCCCTCTTTCGCCGATGATGGCGCCTGTGCCCATAGAGATGGAGGTCTGGCTGCCGATGCGATTGGGCGTGCGGCGAGACTGCAGCGGGGGTGGCCTACCTCGAGCAATAAACAAGAGGAAAAGAAGGCCGACGGCGTCTGTCCCCAGACATCGTCATGTAGCAGGGAGGAGAGCTTCCTTCCTGGATGCGAAGGATCGATGGCGCTGCCGGCCCATTGATGCAACACGGCGCTTAATCCCCAACGAAGGCTAGCGTGGCGGCTCCAGCACAACGGGTCTGGTGGCTAATAGGAACTAACAGTGTTCTGGAATGCATGCTTCACCAATAGAACCCGCTGTCATGGTGTATCCTCAGGTGTCGTCATCCAGTTAGCTGCCCCTAGGCTCGCTCTGAAGCGCCAGTCTCGAATTCTTCTGGTCCGGCCAGTACTGAAGCGTGTTGGAAGGCTGGCCACGGCGGAGACCTGGCTCTCGTGCAGGAGAAGCACCAATGCTAGATCGACTATTCGATCTTGGACAACTGCCCCAAAGTATCAAGTAGCAAGCGGCCGGTCATGCGGCCGGTCTACCCGGGGCTGGCTCCAAGAGCGCGCGCTCAAGAGAGTTTTGGAGTCGAGCAATCTGCCTCGTTACCCTATGAGCCCCTGACCTTGGACGCATGGCCACACGGTACGTAATTCATGTCCAGTAGCAGCAGCAGCAACGACTGGTCGAATGCTGGGGAAAGGTGCAGCACCTCGCGCGCGCGCTCCGATCTGGCCGTCGAGGAGCGGGTTGGCCCAGCCCTGCTCAATGACCTGGTCGATCGAAATCCGCCATGCTCATGGTTATGGCAGTGGCCAGACAGCCACTTGGCTGTCCAGAGCTAATGATAGTTGAAGCAAGAGGCCCAACCTCAGGACTGTATCCGCGCGCGCATTGAAGTAAAGATGGAAAGAGCCAGTGGCTGAGCCGTAGCAGAGTGGAAGTGCACGTTCTCGGTATACTAAACCTCGCCATATCAGGACGGGGCAGCCACGACACTGGCCGGCGGTTAATTGGAGGGTTCGGAGGCTTTACCTACATATATCTTGGCTTGATGTCCATGAGACGAAGTTGCTGAACTCGTATTTTGCCCACATTCTGAAGCTGTCGTACTCAGGTCCATCCGAGGCAGCGAAAGAAGAAAGAAAACTTGCCAGACAGCCTGAGCCCATTCAGGCCGCCTGTCTCACAGCTTCCCGTTCCGCATTTTCCTATCCGCAACTGCTGCCAAGAAGCCAATTGAGCCTCATCCCCTTCACTTTTCTCTCTTCAGATTCTCCCTGGTCCACCAACCGGTATTTTGAAGTGGATTCTACTTGGAACGCCGGCCTGAGCCTTTGCCACCTAAGCTCAGCAAAAACAGTCTATACTCTAGATCGAAAATCTTGGGTTGAAGAGCCACATATTCCCGGTTTTGAAGAAGAAGCTCTTCCCCACAACCTTGCGATCCAGCTCACAAACCGTTGGTACGGAGGCCATTCTCGAAGCTGGTTGGACGAACTGGCTTCTCTTCTCTGCACTGTAAGCCGACTGCCGTCGCCCAATCAGACTGATCTGAGCCGCGGATGCTAAGAATAGGGCAGCGCTTGCCATTCTTCCACTAAGATTTGGGGGGCATTTGGGTCACTCTGGTGTGCAGCAACACCTACAGCCACAGGCCAATCAGCGCCCGCCGCTCCTCATCTCGAGTGACTTCAACCCAGCGGCTGCAGCACCCGCTGGCTGGTCACAATCGGAATCGGAATCGAAATCGAAATCGACAGAGGAAGGAGACGAGACGAGACGAGACGAGTAAAGCCTCTTCTCCGGCTCTGGACCGGAATCACATCCGTCACTCATCCGCTTGATCCTTCGGCTCTTGCCCCTCGCACACTATCACCAGCACCCGATTTCTCCACATCTCCTCTGCTCTGTCTGGTGCTGTAGTGCATATAGCAATTGCACGAGAGTAGAAATTGTGAAGAGACCTTTGGCTGGATAGCCAGGAAGAATATATCACCACCCTTCGATTTATTTATCAATCAATCAATCGGCTCGAGTTGAGAGCGAGCGACAGACATACATACATACGGACAAACAGACAGACAGACTTGAATGCAAGAGTCTTTTGCCCGTCCGTCTTGGTCGTAGACAGGCAAATTAGCCCACGAGAACACCCGCCGTGCTTTGCTGGTGGGCGTCGAGCTGTCCAACGCTCTCTTGGTTGTGCTCCAATCGATCCTTTGTGATAGGAACGGCTTTGGCGCCAGTCGCTAGCGAACTGTGTGTGTGTGCGTGTGTAAAGCAAGTAAGTACCTCCTCTACTATCTACATCCTCATTTCATTCCGAGGGGCGAGGGTCTGTCTCCCGCCGCCCTTGCAAGACAAGGTCTTCCTCTCTCTCTCTCTTCCTGAACGTGGCTCTTCTCCTCTCTCTTGTCCGCCTTTGCCTATCTCCCGCATCGGAGTTACTTCTTGCTGCTTATCACTGCCGCTGCCGCCGTCGCTGTCACTGTCACTGTAACTCTGACGAGTCTGACTCTTGACTCTTGTCTCTCTCTCTGTTTCGGCTGGTGGCGCGGGCAGAGATGGGCAAGCTGCACCTTTGAACTCACACTAAGGCATCTCCCAGCACACCTACAGGCGCCTGTCCAGTTGCAGTCGCGCAGCCCTCGCTTGTCGACTTTTTGGCCAGGGTTTGCTCGGACGAAGACCGCGTTGCCGCTGCTTTAACGTTGATAGGGCGTAACGTGAAGGCCCCTCCGCCAGTTGTTGCCGTCTCTTTGTCTCTCTCTTCACCTCTCAAGTCTCTCGACTCTCCACCACCTCGCGCCAACACAAGCTCTCTGTTTCGACAGGCCTGCCCTTGTCCTTGCCGAAGCGCACGGGGTGCTGTATACTGCATAGTAAGTTGCCTGGGTGCATGTACTGCATGTACCTTGTCTCCTCTCTGCCCCCGGCCACCTCGCACCCAAGACAGGCCCTGGACACGAGAGTACTTTCTTTAGTCACTGACAGTTGGCTCCCCGCCACGGCAGAGCGCGAACTCTGGGAACCCACTGGCCCAGAAGCTCGACCAGCTGCACCCCCCACCGAAGCGCCAGCTCAGTCACAATAAACACGGGCGGAATAGCACTGGATGCTATTAGTCCGCCATACCCTTGTCCCTGGCCCATTGCTCTGGGTTCGACTTATTATTTTCGTCTTCTTCTTCTTCTTCTCTCTTCAATCTCGGCGCGGGGGGACTGTTGTTGTCTTGTTCTGCCGCACTCACACCCCGGTCCATCTCTCCAACACCCTGCCACACTCACACACTTAGACACACACACACCTACTTACACACTTGCAACACCTCTCCTCACCATCCTCCCTGCATCGTTACCGCCCATCTCTTGACTTGACCTTACCTGCTCTGCTCTGCCTGCTGCAGAGACATAATATAACCTGGACACCCCCATCTCCAGCTACCTCCGGCTTCCCTTTCCTCTTCCCCCCCTTAACTGCCGACTCGACTTCTCTCTTCCTGCCTGTACCTCAAAGGGCAAGTTGACCTGTCAGTAGTGCAGCTCAGTTGGCCATCCCTCCGAGTCATTAACTTGACTTGACTTGACCTGACTTACACACCCAATCTATCTCTCTCTCTCTCTCCCTCTCCTCTCTTCCTCGACAGGCCGACGCTCGTTACACCCGTCTGTCGGTTGAACCCGCCCACCACCACCACCACTACATACATACTTACATACATACATCCACCTCTACCAAGATCCCTCACTTGTCAGATCTACCAGCACTTCAGTCAAGATGCCCACCACCGCCAGACCCAAGCTGACCCAGTTGACGACCCCCGTCTCTGCCAGCTATCCAGCCGATGCTCTTCTGTCGGCATCATCAGTCCGGACGCCTCTCTCGGCTTCAATATGGGGGCCTCTGCCTTCCGCCGGTCTGCCCTCTGCAGGCATCAAGTCTGCCGGTTTTGAGTATCCGATGGCCGCTATCAAGCAGGAGGAGAAGACGCCAATCACTCCACCGGTCGCCTATATGGACTTCCTAAAGTCAATTTCCATGGCATCGCCTTCGCTCGTTAGTCCACCTCTGACGGCGCCTCTGGCTGGAAAAGCACCGCTGAACCGGACCTCTACCGCCGGCAGCATGGCCAGCAATGCCAGCAGCCAGTCGAGCAACAGCGCAAAGTCGGACGACGCTGGAGAAGCAGCAGTGGCGACTGACGGCGACGCTGATAGTGCGCCCTCAACCGCCACCAGCGAGGCTACTGACTGCAGCTGCTCCTGCAACCATGTCCACAAGTCGCCAAAATCGCCCACACCCACCAAGATATCTACTGCGGTGCCCGCCTCACCTTTCAACAGCTACCCGCTGTCAGCACCGGCAACAGGGCCCACCTCCTTCCCGAGCCTGCGCATCCCCCCCTCGCCGGCCGTGAGCAATGTCGACTCGCCGGTGCGTTCGCCGTTCAGCGCAAGGAGCGTCAAGAGCCCCTTTGACTGGGACGCCGCCCTGAAGGCGAGGCGGTACACGGAGATGAAGCCGAGCCACGGCGCGCACGGCAGCACCCGGTGCGAGAAGAGCAAGACGAGCGTGCGGCACATCAGGGAAGTGGTGACGAGGACCGTCACGTACACGCCGAGGATGGACCCCGCGCCCAAGGGAAAGAGGAGAAAAGTCGAGTGAGCGGGTCGATGGTCAAAGCCAGGAACAGGCTGGGAGAAAGGACACCATGACTGGACTCTTACATACGCCAATATTTCTCTTTTGTCACCTTCCCCAGCTACAAACACACTTATCTATCGCTAAATACTGGATATCAATCTCTGGTGTGCCCGCCCGCGGCCCTCAATCCTGGCACATCCAAGGATCGGTCACCCCACGGAAGAAGATGGCAATGTGGGCTCCAAGCGAGCATCTTGCCCGCGGCGCAAGCACATAATCGAACATCAAACATCAAACATCGAATCTGCAATAGCCCAGACGGCGGCATTGTGATATTTTCACGAATCATGGACATGAAAAAAAAAAAGAAGCGAAGGGCTACTATCTATCTTTACTATGTTGGAACCGTTTGTGTGAGGGCATGGGACTTCCTTGTTGCTTTCTATTATTTTTGCTTCCCTCATTGGGAATCCCTCATGGCACGGAGTTTTGCGGCGTTGCGGGCGGCGTCTTACAAGCAACTGTGCAGATACCACGGGGCAAGGACGGACGGGTCGGCTTGAGTATCTAGGGTTTATGCGATAGGATAGGCAGCTTTACAGAAGCAATGGATATCATGACTATACTGCGTTGATCTTGCTAACGACCAATGTGGCGGTGATATGTGAGAAGTGTTTATTTATTTATTTGAGAGGCGCGCGGCGTTGTTCGCGCCTGATGCATGACGGCCAACGGCACGACCTCTGAAGCGACCTCAGGGAGGCCACTGGTCTGGCCGCCCAACCAGCATTTGCAACAAGTATACATGCTGTTCACCCTCTATAATCAATCCACTTGATCTGAATATATCTCAATGTCTTGCAGCTGGGCCGCGGCCGCAACGAAGCTACCCATTATGTATGGCGTCCCGGAGCATCAGCATTCGGGAGATCTGCCTCTGCCATGCGGGATGTCAGAACTGTGTGGGTGGCATTTTTCTTTGCAGTGCAGTGAGTGTCTCTCCTGCAGCCGAGTGTAAGTCCTGTGCAGCAACCCCTCCCCCTCCGTAACTCTAGGTAGCTGTCAGAACTTTTGTCGATAATCCCGCAGCCTGCTCAATCTGTGGCCATGGCCCATGTCCTCTTGCGTACGCAGTTGCGTCTCCATTTGTGCGTATAGGGAGGGGAGTACCATGATGAGGAGGGGAGGGGGTGATGCTGGCTGGCTTGCCTGCCCGCCCACCTGTACCTTCTCTGCAGCACACGATAGATGCATCTACTCGACTGAGTACCACTTACTGACTGAGGAATGTCAGGTAAGGCAGGCAGGAGTCGAGTAGACAGTACCTTCTTTTACCCCTCTCAAAGCAGCGAGCGCGCCAATCCCCCATTCGCCCAAGTCGAACCCGACATCCCGGGACGTGCATGGGGTGCTATGGTGAGCCCCTGCTAGCGCCTCCTGCCCGACAGGGGGCTAAGCGCCCATCTTTGTCGCGGCCGACCAACGGCGTGCGCGAACAGCTCGGGGTGGAGTGAAGTGTCGTGCAGGACACGACGCAGACGGGGCCGTCGTCGCTGCCTCATTGGCCACGGCTAAGCGCTCACGGAGAGGGCACTTTGGAAATGCAAGAGCGTGAAAGTGAAGGAAGGGGGAAAATGGCGAAAGAGGCCCGGGGCGGCAAGGCGGAGAGCTAAGAGTCGGACAGAGAGAAAGACAGACGGATGGAGGGAGGGCAAAGGGGAGCTAGCCTCGCGCAACCTCAGAAGCTGGAGACAACACCAGAGAGGCGTTTGTGACTGCTTGTGGACCAGAAAGCCGAACCAACTCTCGATGCCTTACTGTACACGACTTGTTGGGATGAACCATCTGAGAGAACGCCAGTGCCTTTCTCATTGGTTACTTGGGACCAACAGCATGCACTGAACTGAGGATGCGGCACAGTACAGTCCTGGAATGCTCGAACAGGAAACTCCAGATTAGAGCGCTGCTTCCTTGCAGCGGCCGGAGATTAACCTGTCCGAAAGAGTCCTTTCGACTTCGGATCAGTTTGCGGGTTCATCTCGGTGTGCAGCAAGTTTGCAGCCAACGCGCAGACGATTTCACTCGCTGGAGTAGAGCCAGGGGGCCACGGCAAAAGAGCAGGGGAAGGCCCCTCACTTAAAGGCGCTGATATCAATCCACCCCGGCCTGTCCCGCGGCCGTGGATGAGTCGCAATTCTCCGAAGCTCAATCTGAGATGTCAGATAGCTCCAGGGAATGTGTGCCACTGGTAAAATTGCAAGGTTGATCGCCCTGTCCTGGCAGGAGCAGCCCGTTAACAAGACGAGGTAGCGCTGCTATTGCTTTCGGCATAATTGAGCCGGGGCATATATTTGGCTGGCGGTGAGACAGGCAACTTGTTGAAACAACTGTCCAAGCAGGTGCAGCGGCCCCATCATACGTAGTAGAACTTGCAAGATTAAACCCCTAGCTTCCCCTGTGATGAACGGCAAGACGGTGATGTTTCGAAACACCAAGCTTGCTAAATTTAGAGCTGTAGCTCCCTCGCTCATCACCAACATACATATGTGCTACACCACGTGGGTTGTCAGCATTTCGGCGAACCGTCACGGCCCCCAAACACACAGCACACCAGTCGAGTTGGCAAGTGGTCTGCCCGTCTGACAAAGAACCTTTGGCCTCCATGCAACCCGGGGTTTAGTCCACTTCTTTGACCTCCTTCGCAATGGCATTGACCAGAGCAACTCTGACCCCAGCACCCGTGAGCACATGTATCCACAGCCTCTGCGTATCGCTCAACCGGTCATTGGCACTCTTCACCTCGGCAAACATGCACTCGGGCTGCGGTTCCGTGCGCCAGAGGACAAGGTCGGGAATGCCTCCACCCCGCTGACCGTACTCTTGCGCCATGACCTTACAGATGGCCGCTAGTGCCTCTCCTCGGAAGCAGCGTACGAGTTCCAACAGGTCATCGAGCTCGTAATCCCAGTTCAACCCCACGATGCAGGTTCGCCGCTCACGGTGCTGTGTATCCACATTGCGAAGTATCTGCTCAGCTCCGCCATTGGCGATCTCAACAAGTCGATGGTTGATCTCGCTGGCCCGTGTCGGATAGAAAGCATCCGTGTGGAGGTCGAGAGGGCAGGTCTGGTATGCTGTCTGAAAGACATTAGGGATATAGAGGAAAAGAATGTCGTAGAAGAGGTAGGCAAACAGGGTCCGAACGATCCCGCCTTCGCTGTGATAGCCTTTCCAGCCCTCGCTTCTGTAATGCGATAGACACATGGCTTCTACAGAGCATTCGCCGCCTCCTTCGGCCTCATCCTCCCAAATCGTTTTCGTAGATGTTCCTCCACGCTTTCCAGCAGTTGGATCGTCCCGTTTAAGTTGAATACCATGTACGTTATGTTCTTCTGGCGCGTGTAATCGCACGTGGCCAAAATCATGCTGGAGACGCTTAGGGATTTTCAACTTCCTCTCAAGTTTTGTCAGTCGTTTCTGCAAGTCGTAGTGGTAGATAAGGTGGCAATCGCGGTCTTCCAGAGCTGTCTCGCACGTAGAGACAGCGATCCGCCGCCAGTGCTTCTTCTGCTGTTCAGGATCAGCAGACCTAGGATTTGGGTCAACCTCGAACATATAATGCTCTTCTAGAAGTGCTTTGCGCTGATACCATGATCCGCGACGGGCCATTTGGAACAGTCTCTGGTCGAGGAGCTCTGTCAGGAGAGCATGTTCTTGTTGATACTCATGCAGCCGGCCGAGAACATGTGCAGCTTTATGCGCGATTCGGGTGTAAGCGTGGGCTGGATTCAGGCGACGAAGGTAGCCTCCTTCACCAAATTCGTAGATTCTCTCCTCCTTATGCAGCTCTTCGCGGAGAAGTTCTCTCCACTTTGTGGAGAGGCTGTTAAATATTTCTAAGACCCGACGGAAGCCAACTTCCCCTGGAGGTCCGTTGAACTCCAGAATTTGGTCCACTTCGAACTCTAGCCTCATGGCTTGCTCAAATTCGAGAAGGCTTTGACGAGAAGGGAAGATATTCGATGTTCTATCGACAATGTACTGTGGAAAGTTCCTGCGTGAGATCTTTGCTAGGATAATCGTCGTGAGTGACTTCTCTGTCCATTCCGTGGACCGGTAAAATACCAGGTGCACCCGCTCAAAGAGCTTGAAAACAGGCGGTGATAGTCGTATACAGGGTCCTGTGATCGCCAGCATTTTGCCTAGGAAATGCGCATTTCGATTATAGTTCGTCGCAGGGTCTGGCGTCTGGCTGTCGTTCCTCTCTCCATCTTTAGAGTCAGTTGATCCGCTTGTGCTCTCCCGACGCAGACCCAGGGACACGAGTCCTATCTGCTGGGAACTCATCTGACAAAGCTTCTTGATGATATCTGCCTTATTCTTGCCTTGTACTTTTGCCTCCTTGGCGAGCGTTTTCAGTTCGTCCAGACTTAATAACGACGCCGCTTCCTTCACGGATGTGATGAACTCCTCCGATGAGTCGGCAAAGGTGAAAGACTCGCCAAGCGACCAGTCTTGTAGTGCGACTCCAGCAACTTCACCGCTGCCTGAGGTATATTCCTCATGAATCTCCTTAGCGAAGTTGCGTTTCTCCTGCAAGGCCTCAATAGCTGCCTCTGGGTCTGTTATATCACTATAGTAACCTAACCGGTCACTGCGATGCCACGCAGCAGTTTTCCGCAAGAAAAGCCTGACATATCTAGGGTATTTCAGCAACAGTCTAATATAAGATGTTAGCTTTTCGACATACAGGTATTGCGACTCATAGTCAAGGCTTCTCCAGGCTTCAAATACATTCATCTCCTTTGTGTCAAAGAGATGAGCCTCATCCTCTAGAACTGTGTCCAGAGCAAGATTGAAGGCGTCCACATAGATGGAACTTTTGCCTCGGATCCATTGTCTCCTGTCAAAATTGGAGGCCGCAGTAGTGTCTTCACCTTCTTCTGCGGCGCTCCTTTGGGATGCTCGCATTGCCTCATACTCCTCAATTGCATCCTTGTCAGTGGCCACAGGCGGAAGAGCATCCTCGAACTCTGTTCTACGCACAGAACTCGAAGATGGGTGATCCCCATCGTCTTCAGTTTCTGATCTTAACTCCTCATCGGCATTTAGATGTGTTGGTCTCAAATCGGCTTGAAAAGACTTCACAGAGGATTCATCTTCGCTGCTATCTCTGCTGTGCTCGACCTTGACTTTCTTGAGAGGTCGATTTGCCGGATGATGCATGCTGCTGCTGTTTGAGATATCCGCCAGCGGCTCTCGTTGTCTAGAAGCCTCTGACTTCTGGACAAAGGCATCCATTGTGCTTCTCATGCGAAGCACATTTATTGCCAATTCTGATTTGGATGTTCCATTCATACACAAACATCAGGAAACTCACGAAATGAGGGATAAGAAGGGAGCTTTTGCAGATATTAGGCAGATACAAGCCGGGACGTGTCGCAAATCAGGGACAGCAACGCCAAATCACGGGGAAACGCGTTGGTGGGGCACGCCATTCAGTTGACTACAAAGCTCGACAGCTAGCCTCTGCGATCGCAAATAACTTAGCGCTCTGCGATTCCCGTCCTCAAGCCAACAACGACGCTCAACGAGTGCAGTGGAAGCCGGAATACTCCTCCTCGAAGCTCCTGGTCCGAAAAAAAGGAGCTCAATCGACCGGCATCATGTCGCAACCACCTCCTGACCAAGCTCCTGCTGGAGGGGTCCCTGATGCTGCTGTGCCTGATGAAGCTTTCCGGGCTGCAATCGCAACTGAGGATGGAACCCCGGCCACTGGTGATGCTGCGGTGAACGCGGCTGTCCAGGATACCGCCAGCTCAAAGGACGTCTCCATGACTGATGCTCCTCCCGAGTCTGCAGCTGTACGTTTTCTCTCTGCGCCTCATCTCATCTCACCTCACCTTCATATCTCAACTCACATACCTGGATCTCGGATTCCTGCCCCCATGATATTGCTTTGTCTAGCCACATAAGCACCGACTCTTTGGAGCATGACCAAATTGCTGTATCGAACGATCTAGCTAACGTCTTTCCAGTCTCCAGCCCCCGCCAATGTTGCGTCCACCCCAGTCAATGCTGCATCTCCGATGCCTGTGCGAACCGGCACCCCGATGCGTAACACCAACGGTGATTCGGGCTCGAGATCTACTTCGCAGCACCCTGACCCAGGATTCACCATGCCGAGTGAGGCGCCGCCCCACGGTGCGCCCACGCGCCAGTATCTGAATAGCAAGGTCACTGGTGTGTTGCTGGAAGGCATGAAGCAGTTGGCGAAGGACAAGTAAGTTGGCCCACATGATTCAAAGCCTGTCTTTGTATAGGTATGGCTATCAGGCACATGTTTACATGTTTCATTGCTACAGGCCGAAGGATCCTTTGAGAGTGTTAGGCGAGTTCCTGCTCCAGCGCTCGAAGGAGCTCGAAGGCACCTCATAAGCCAAGGAGCCTTGGGAACTGAACGATATGATGGGGACGGCATTATGATCAGGGTTTCTTTCAACTTCTAAGGAGGGGTTTAGGCAAAAGTCACATTGGCATAGGCGTCCCGGATGTAGGCATTACAGTTGTCGATTAGGCATATCAAGATACCACTTTGCACGGTAGCAGCATAAAAAGTCAATAACTTGAGCGTTGAGCTTTCAGGTGCCGTGATTCATTTCCGACTACCAGTAACAGGAGCTGTCCTCACTGTAAATGCAAGTTTCCAGGCCCCAAACTCCGTAACAGAGTGATCTTCCATGACGATGCAATGTGCAAACCGCCTACTTTTCCTTCCACGCCGTCCATCTCCGACTGCAGCCCAGTCACTGTTTATGCGACGATGGTGCTGGCAGTGGCGCTCTCGTATCTCCAGGTGGGAGGCAGGACACCAACGGTCTTGTAGTAGCGGGCCAGACGGTGAATTCGGGACTCGATCAGAATCAGGCGGAACTTGGAGTCCTTGTCCTTTCGGTTGCGCTCAAGGTGCTTGCGGACGGCAACAGCCTGAGTGAAAATTGTCAGCATTCATAGTCACCCCGGCAGACTGAATGCCCAAAAGGGCCGTTCGAACGTACCTTCTTGATCAACATGTACAGGTCTTCCGGGATATCGGGGGCGAGGCCTGTGATAAATCTCTCTGTCAGCATATGACCGAACAGAGGCAGTTTTATGTTTGACATCTCGTTCCCCATCATACGATGTTTGGAAGAGTTTCATTCGAGTGGTGCGATCGAGCAGCGAAGGGTGAGGGTTCATCCCGTACCATTGGACTTGAGAATTCGCAGAATCTTGTTACCTGCGCAAATAGTTAGTAATTAAGCACTTCCAATTTCCGACAAGAGAAATCACATACCAGTGACAATGCGGACCTGGGCGATGCCGTGGGAGTCACGCAGGATGACACCGATCTGAGAGGGAGTAGCACCCTTCTTGGCGAGCTTGCAGATTTGCTCGACGACCTGGTCGGGGGTGGTCTTCAACCACGACGGGGCGGTGCGAGAGTAGGGAATTGCGGAGGCAGAAATGCCCTTTCCGTTGCTGTGAAGACGACCCATGGTTGCTGGTTGGCGCTGGCGGTGATATCGTCAGTCGGTCGGTCGGAGATGGATGCAACTTTTTTCAAATGGCGGCGGGTGAGAAATCCAAAGTTTGGTGTGGGAGAGTGTCGCATTAGCTAATCAAACGAACCCTAGCCGAACCTGAGCTAAAAATTCGGTGAGGTGGTGGCTACACGTGGATAATCACATGACTTTCTGCCGTGAAGCTAACCTTCTGCTTCGACCGCCCGGAGAGAAAACTTCCGTTACTCTTTCAACAGCATTTAATCCTGTTACACAGCCGTCTCGAGCCTCGTGGAAAGCTAGTTTCATCAACATCATGGTGACTGCAAAAAGAGGACATGTTCTCAGGGCAGGTTTCTATTTATGCTTATTGTAGTGTTCCCTATCTTCTTGATCTATTCTCTGGTAAGTGCAGCACTTCTAGTTCCTCCTGTCAATCTCACTTCGATGATGATCTACAACCTATTGTTTTACTTATTTCTGGTACCTCTTATGTTAGAATCCTTCGGGATTCAATGAATGAACTGGACTTCTGACCTCGATACCCTTTCTTGACTCTGAATTCTACCTCAACAACCTTGGGGATACGCTGGCTGACTCAGATATAGATGGTTTCCTCATTGGATCTAACGGGCCCCAACCGCGGCAAGTGCCTGGATGGGATGGACAGGCGCTTACAATGGCATTTTGGTCGCGATCCCGAGAGGATCTTCATCACAGTGCGACAGACATGGACTAACGAAAGCTCTCACACTCTTCAAGTAGCTCAAATAAAAGTAATAATCACTGACGATTTTGCCTTTACTTAACCTGACCATAACAGTGAATCAGCGTGACTAAGTGAAACGCTTGAGAACGGTCCCTCTTATTCCGACAGTACCTGACGTCTCCCAACTATGACTCGATCTATTGTACAATCGAAATTACAACTCATGTTTAATGCCCTGGAATAGGGCTCGGAGGTCCATTCTTCTGTCTCCTCATAACACCGGCTGCAGTCTTCACATATCGCCAAATATTGCTTCGTCGAGCAACGAAAGGCCATTACCAGGCACCGACGTCGAAGTTCTCCTAGAATCGTGTGTTAGAGTGGTATTTTGTCTGATATAGCTCCATGAACTTACCTCAGGGAAGTAGGTTGTCACGACAGTTCGGTCAGCGAATTTCCTGCCTGCCAAAGCCTGCAGAGCCTTCGTTGCTGAGTCTTTGCTATCAAACTTGACATATATCTTGCCCACGCCTGCTGACTGCCTACTGCCTCCCACAGGTCTAGGCACTTTCAGGTCGACAACGGTGCCGAACTTGGAGCATTCATCTCTCACATCCTCGCATATTTCTGATTATATTAGTTCGAAGAACTATGCAAAAGACATCATGGGAGCACGTACCTTCATAGTCGTCGTTGTCTAGGAGTTCCTCGGGTGTGACCATGTTCAGCAGCTGGAGAACACGAGTAACCTCGGAATCTGTGGAGGTCGTCCCGGCAAGCATGGCCATAGCATTCACGCCCATCTCGACACCTGCGACTTGGCTAATACCGATGCTGGCTTTCTGGACCTTGAGTTTCTTGTCACCCAGCTCCATACCGTTCAGTCCTTGAATGGCAATGTCTGTGGTGTTGGGCTCAGCATACTCGCAGAAAGCAATACCCTACATAATGTTAATGAGTAATAACTAGGAAGCTCGGCAGGGATCTTACCCTTGACTCCTCAGTGCCAGAATCCTGGACCAGGACGAACGCCTTAAGTTCCCCAAAGGACGTGAGCAGCTCCGTAACCTGCTCCGGCGTCAAGTAAGCAGGGATGTTTGTGATACTAATCTTGTTGGGAGTGTCCACCACAACGTTCGACACCATGCCGGGTTCGTAGCCAGTGTCATCCACAACTGCAGGAACAATGTAGTCTTTCGGCCTACGAATCTGCAATCCGTGCGCGCTACCATTTGAGGCTCCATTGCCATCCATAGCGTCATCCGCCTCCATTGAGATGCCATCGAGTGCAAGGGCAACGGTGGCATCCGTAGAGTTTCGGAACTCGACAAGCGCAAACGACTTGTCTGGTGAGAATTGGCAAAGAATGCAGGGATCCGTGCTGTCGATGACATTGAGGCCGTTCAACTGCAAGTTGAGGAATGACTGGATGCCATCCTCGCTGGCCGATGGAGGAAGGTTCGAGACAATGAGTCGCTTCGCTTGTCGCGAATTGCTTGGCTTCAGAGATGCGCTGTTGACTGCCCCGCCAGGCTGGTTCATGAAGGCCTGCAACTTAGTCGGATCCATGGCTTGTTGTCTGGGTGCTCCAGGCAGTGGGAACATGCCGGACAACTTGGCTTGTTCAGCTGTCACATTCTCGTAGCCAGGGGGCTTGATGTCCCACTGAGTCAATCGCCTCTTGCGCTCCAGCACAGACACAACGTTTGTGAGATCCGGTGTGGGTTCTCTCTTCTTGGGTGGTGGAGTAGCACTTCGTCTGCGTTCCCGCTCTCTCTCTTGATCTCGCTCTCGTCGCCGCGGCCGATCCTCGAATTGCTCACGGTCTCGTCGTGGCGGGCGTTCCTCATCGTCCCGTCGCGCATCGCGCCTAGAGTTCCTGTCACGGTCCCATTCCCGCTCTCCTCCCCTGCGGTCCCGTCCGGAATAGCGGTCCTCTCGTTCTCGATCTCTGTGGCTGCGACTGGAGGAATAGGAATCAACCTCGCCTCCCGCATCACGTCGTCTTACACCATCATACGGCGAGCGTGATCGGCGTCGAGGTCGGTCTCGGTCTCGGTCACGTCTGTCATCACGATCGCGTCTGGATGGCTGCAGAAGGTTAGATACGCTGGATGGGGCTTGGAGGGGTGAACATACTGGATAGTCTCGAGATGAGCCATGGCGGCCACCATCTAATAGTTGCAAAACAATGTCAGCCAAACACGCCAAATACTCGTGAGTTCAATTGTCCAAAGGGCTTACCTCGAGAAGAATAACTGTCTCCGTTCATGTCTCCTGTTGATGCGAGAAATACGATGGTGATGGAGAGATCGCGATGTTGCGACAGCTCACGACAGAGGAGATGAGGCACGTCTTGCCGCACAGCTCGAAAATCCGAATCCAACGAGGCTGGAACTTTTTGCCGGCGCGACGCTATCCTCCATGTAGATTAGCGTCGTATGAACCCCTGAGCTGTAGGTCCCTCTTGGCCCAACCTCACAGAACTCACCCTCTCATTTGCGCTAGTGGCAAAGCTACAAATGCCCCTTTGGGAGAAGGAATATTGAAATATTGCCAACTCACCCAGCTACCCTTTGTCTTATTTTCCTTGGAGTTCTTCATCTATATTCATAGTATCTGATGAGTTTCTTTGGTTTGATCTTTAAAAACCTTGTATTGTTTTGTTCCTGTTGTCATGGCTGCAGCTAGGGCTACCGAATGGCGCAAACTGCCCCTGAGCCTTACCGAGCTCTGCATTGACACAACACTCCGTTGTGGTCAGTCGTTTCGTTGGCAGAAAATCAATGACGAATGGTAAGCATATCTATAGGATGTGGAGGTGGAGGTTTGTTGACACCTCTGGCAGGCATTGCACTTTACATGGTCGGCTTCTGTCCCTCAAGCAGGACCCTACACATCTCCATTACCGAGTGATGTGGCCAAAGTCTGTCGTCGCTCCACTAACATCTCCATCGTTAACCTCAGTGTCAAAAGGAGCTTCGGTGGCCATTGAAGCGTTTGTGCTGGATGACACAGAGGCTTTGTTGAGAAATTATTTCAACCTGGAGCACGATCTGACTCTCCTCTATGAGCAGTGGGCTGGGGCAGACCCCAACTTTCGCAAGAGAGCCCCGAAATTTGCGGGTGTCCGCATATTAAACCAAGATGCATGGGAAGCTCTGATATGCTTCATATGCAGCAGCAATAATAACATCTCAAGGATATCTCAGATGGTGGGCCTGAACTTCTTAAAATCAAACACCTGGATGAGCTAATATTTCTACCAGGTTCGCAAACTTTGTCAACATTATGGTCCATTCATTGGCAAAATCGGTGATGAAGCTTTCCATGACTTTCCCACTCCTGAGTCTTTGAATCGGTCGGGTGTTGAATCTCATCTTCGAGAGTTAGGATTCGGCTACCGGGCTAAGTACATTGCTGAGACGGCACGAATCGTTGTCGAAGATAAGCCGAAAGATTGGCTTCTAGATCTGAGAAACCCAGAAAGCCAAGCGTGGGGCGATACACGGAGTGCTGGTCCGCCCTTCACAACTTACAAAGAGGCCCATGAGCAACTCGTGGGGCTTTCCGGCGTTGGGCCAAAAGTTGCGGACTGCGTTTGCTTATTCGGCCTGGGATGGGCCGAGGCAGTACCAGTTGACACTCATGTCTGGCAAATCGCTGTGCGGGACTACAAATTCGGCAAGCTCAAGACCAAGACATTTAGCAAGGTTATGTATGATGCGGTTGGTGATCACTTTCGGGATCTCTGGGGAAAGCAAGCTGGCTGGGCCCATTCAGTGCTTTTCACCGCCGACCTACGAGCCTTCTCGGACCGTTTGGTAGAGAAGAAGGAACCTGTTGAGGCTGTCGTGAAGGTTGAAGACATGTTAATGACACCGGATCCTTCGCCGGACAAGAAGCGGAAGGCGGTTGTGACCAAAATCATCAAAATGGAAGGCATCGATGCTTCCACCACAACGGCTATCGTTAGTACCAGAGCAAGTAAACGATTGCGAACGAAATCATAGAGATATCACACGGCTGTAGAAAGAATATATATTAACAAACCAGACTGGGTTCACTAAAACGAGATTTTGAGAGGAACGCCTTGATTTTTAGTGCTCTCATATTGGTACACGTTTAAACAAATCCTTTCCCTATCAAAGATCTTTTCTACAAGCATACTCTACATCTTGACGGATTTCAACCTCGCAGAGAAAAAAACAAGGACGTTTTGGAAGTCAAGACACATGAGCTGGTGAAAAATTGTGCACGGACCATGCACATGCTGACATAAGTCGCTCGCGAGTGGCACTTGAAATTTACCAGCCTTGTGAACTAGGCGAGGCAAAGAATTTCACGACATTCACGCATCACCTCAAGACGCGCCATCAGAACTTGCACCAGAACATCTGTACAGCATCGAAACCGGTCCCTGATAAATGTAGCCGTATCGCCCTCGACGTTGCAAAATGTCGGACGCAGATTTCGAGCAGATCCGAAAGCTCCAGGCAGAGCGCAATGCTGCCTCGGCCGCCAAGAAGGGTTCGAAGACCTTCGACCCTGCCAGCCAACGCGCCGACTCCTCATCCAAGGTCAAGCTGAACGAGGCTTTCGACACCGATCTGTACGAGCGCGATGGGCCCGACAAATTTGCCGGCTATCACACGTCGCTTCCCGGGGCAGGAGATGATGACGAGGAGATGGAGGATGCTGATAGCAGCCGGAGGCTGGTTGGACAGTATACTGCTTCACGAGCCCAGATTGATGAGTTTGCGCGTGGAAGTGGCGTGGAGGAAGACGATATTCTACTTGGCAAGGGTGAACGCAGCAACCGAATTTCAGACAGAGAAACTGAGTATCAAAAGCGCCGGTTCAATCGCGTCCTGACACCCACCCGAGCCGATCCTTTCGCCGCCAACCGCCAAGCTGTGGCTGCCGAAGATGGTGAGAGCTATCGTGAGATTATGGAGCGACGCGATCTCGAGAGAGAAGAGGAAAGGGTCAAACGAGCCATAGAGGCGAAGGCCAATGGCGAGGATACGGGTAATGAGGTCCTGGACCATAAGCCCGTCCTGAAGGATGGGGATAAGGAGAATGCTGAGGCCGGATCGACTGAAGCAGCATCTGGACGCAAGCGCAAGAAGAGATGGGATGTCGCGGCGGCAGAAACCACGGAAGAAGCTGCACAGCCGGCCGATGGCAAGTCAAAGCGTTCAAGGTGGGATCAGGCGCCTGCTATCCCTGCTCCTGGTGCTGAAGCCTCTAAGAAGCGCTCACGATGGGACCAGGCTCCAGCAGCCACGCCTATCGGCAATCAGGGACTTGTTACACCGATGCACCCTTCTCAGGGCGCTGCTTTGCCCACAACATTCGGCACTGATATATCTGGTCGAAACCTCCCGATCAGTGACGAAGAGCTGGATCTCATTCTTCCCGGAGAGGAAGATGGATACAAGATACTCGAGTTTCCTCCTGGTTACGCTCCCATTCGAGCCCCTGCTCATAAATTGATGCAGACACCAGTGCAGACAAGTGGTTTCATGATGCAGGATCCCAACAGTAGCAGAATCACAAGTCAACAGATGCCCAAGGAAATACCTGGTGTGGGAGACTTGCAGTTCTTCAAGCCGGAGGATATGGCATATTTTGGGAAGCTGACAGATGGCACTGACGAGGAGAATCTGAGCGTCGAAGAACTCAAGGAGCGAAAGATCATGAGACTACTGCTCAAGGTCAAGAACGGCACCCCTCCTATGAGGAAGACTGCCCTGAGACAACTCACTGATAACGCACGAAGCTTTGGTGCCGGCCCTCTCTTCAACCAGATTCTCCCGCTTCTAATGGAGAAGACACTGGAGGACCAGGAGCGGCATTTGCTGGTCAAGGTTATTGATCGTATCCTTTACAAGCTCGACGACATGGTCCGGCCATACGTCCATAAGATCTTGGTTGTCATCGAGCCTCTACTCATTGACCAAGACTACTATGCACGTGTTGAAGGTCGTGAAATCATCTCGAACTTGTCGAAGGCGGCAGGTCTTGCTACCATGATCAGCACGATGAGGCCAGATATTGATCATGTTGATGAGTATGTCAGAAACACTACGGCCAGAGCTTTTGCTGTTGTTGCTTCTGCGCTAGGAATACCTGCTCTCTTGCCATTCCTCCAAGCTGTTTGCCGAAGCAAGAAGTCATGGCAGGCCAGGCACACGGGAGTCAAGATTGTGCAGCAGATTCCAATTCTGATGGGCTGTGCTGTCCTGCCTCATCTCAAGCGCCTAGTAGACTGCATTGGTCCAAATCTTAACGATGAGCAAACCAAGGTTCGAACGGTGACCAGTTTGGCTATTGCAGCGCTGGCCGAAGCTGCTAACCCCTATGGTATTGAGAGCTTCGATGATATTCTCAACCCACTATGGACTGGCGCTCGCAAGCAGCGAGGTAAAGGCCTGGCCGGTTTCCTCAAGGCTGTCGGGTACATCATTCCTTTGATGGACGAAGAGTATGCAAACTATTACACATCACAAATCATGGAGATCCTGCTGCGAGAGTTTTCTTCACCAGACGAGGAGATGAAGAAGGTGGTCTTGAAGGTTGTGTCACAATGCGCAGGCACAGAGGGTGTCACCGCTGGCTATCTCAAGGAGCATGTCTTGGACGAGTTTTTTAAGAGCTTCTGGGTTAGACGTATGGCTCTTGACAAGCGCAACTATCGTCAAGTCGTCGAAACGACGGTTGATATCGGCCAGAAAGTCGGAGTCAGCGAGATCCTCGAGAGAATCGTTGCCAACCTGAAGGATGAAAGTGAGGCGTACCGGAAAATGACCGTGGAGACAGTTGAGAAGATTGTCGCTTCTCTAGGTGCCGCCGATATAGGCGAGCGACTGGAAGAGCGATTGATTGACGGCATTCTGCATGCCTTCCAGGAGCAGAGCGTCGAAGACATTATCATGCTCAACGGCTTCGGCTCTGTTGTCAATGCCCTTGGCACTCGATGCAAGCCATACCTACCACAGATTGTCTCGACGATTCTATGGAGATTGAACAACAAGTCAGCGACTGTACGACAGCAGGCTGCTGACCTCATTTCCCGCATTGCCATGGTCATGAAGCAATGCGGAGAGGACGCCCTTATGGGGAAGCTTGGTATCGTCCTCTACGAATACCTAGGTGAAGAGTATCCAGAGGTGCTCGGCTCCATTCTCGGTGCTCTGCGATCTATCGTCACTGTTGTCGGCATCAGCCAGATGCAGCCTCCAATCAAGGATCTTCTTCCTCGCCTAACCCCTATTCTCCGTAATCGACACGAAAAAGTCCAAGAGAACACAATCGACCTTGTCGGACGTATCGCTGACCGAGGTCCTGAGTCAGTCAACGCTCGTGAATGGATGCGAATCTGCTTCGAACTGCTGGACATGTTGAAGGCGCACAAGAAGGGTATTCGACGAGCAGCCAACAACACCTTTGGCTTCATCGCGAAGGCCATCGGCCCTCAAGATGTGCTTGCCACACTGCTCAACAACCTGCGGGTGCAAGAGCGTCAGAGCAGAGTCAACACAGCTGTTGCCATTGGTATCGTCGCCGAGACTTGTGCACCGTTCACTGTCCTCCCTGCCTTGATGAACGAGTACCGAGTCCCCGAATTGAACGTCCAGAACGGTGTGCTCAAATCTTTGTCTTTCCTCTTCGAGTACATCGGTGAGATGGCAAAGGACTATGTCTACGCCGTGACGCCCTTGCTCGAGGATGCCTTGATCGATCGAGACCAAGTTCATCGACAAACAGCGGCGTCGGTCGTCAAGCACATTGCTCTGGGCGTTGTTGGTCTGGGTTGCGAGGATGCCATGGTGCACTTGCTCAATCTACTCTATCCCAACCTGTTCGAGACCAGCCCTCACGTCATCGACAGAATCGTGGAAGCTATCGAGGCGGTGCGCATGGCTGTCGGTCCTGGTCTGGTACTCAACTACGTATGGGCTGGGCTGTTCCATCCCGCGCGCAAGGTGCGAACGCCATACTGGAGGCTGTACAACGACGCCTACGTCCAAGGAGCTGATGCGATGGTTCCCTACTATCCAAACTTGGAGGAGGACAGAGTAGACAGAGGGGAGCTAGCGATGATGCTTTAGAGGGAGAAGGTCATAATGGGAAGATTGGGTCATTAATCATAGATGACAACTGTATTCCTAGTAGAAGGGACTGTTGGAATTAGGCAAAGAGCTGGTAGCAATGTTTGTATCTGTACTAGCTACTAATGTAGAAGCATAAAGAAGGCGTAACGTGAAGATTACACATGATGATTTACTGTGTCCCTCTTATCACCGCCTAACGTGAAGCTTTGATGGATTACGCTGCTGTTCCTCACTCTTCTTCTAAGCCAGTATCGACAGCTATTCCCTGATGCCATACTATTCACCCGAAGTCTATGCTATCGAGCAATCCTTCATCTGAATGGAACTATGGGCTACTCTACAAATGGCTAACCTCTCACGAGCATCATTGCCGAATGCAACAGGAAGCAACGCGCTGTGCACAACTCTTTCTTGAGAAAGTTGCCGTAGCCGGAGCCGATCAGTACTGCCTGACAGCGCCAATCACTTGATAGACTTCATTTGTCGACGGGCAGAGTGATGATCTCCCGTCTGAGATTCAGAGGCTAGACAGACGGCTATCGACCTTGCAATGCTATTGTTAGCAACATCCCCCAACATTACGGCCTTGATCTTAGCCACAAGTTCATGTTTGACATTGGTTCTCAGGATTCAACGAGGCTCATCTGACTCTAGCAAGCTAGAGAGAGGACATGGACGCCTCGAGCAATCCCATCTATCTGGCTCGACCGTTAAGGGGAGGAGCGCATGTCAGGCATCTCAGGAAGCTCAATTCCTGACAACGAACTCGGACGATCACTCGCCTCGACTGCTATGATTGTGAAGAGTGCTATGTGCAAGTCGCAGCATCGAAGTTTCCCAGCATCGTCACGTGGTCATTATGGCTCACAGATTTCGTGAGGTATTTGTCTATGTCTGTACGCTGCACTACCCGACACCCATGTCTTACGGGCGGGGNNNGGGGGGGGGGGGGGGAGGTGGCAAAGAGGTACCTCTTTGAGGTCCAACCTCCGGAGAATCGATTGCCTGCCGTGCAGCGACTGTTGATAGTTTGGTCCAATGCACGTCCGGGACGCGAAACGTAAGCCGTATGCAAGTAACCCGGAGCGCATACTCGAAGTTAACTACCGTCGGGGGGGCCAAAATAAACGTTAAGTGGCGGTGTGAAGGGCTGATGCAGATGGAAGAAGAGCCAGTGGAAGTGGGGTAACCTCGATCACAGCAGGTGGCGCTGTTGTCAGCACGAACTAAGGCAGCTCACGCAGTACAGCACCTCATTAGTTCCTGAGCTGTTCGGGGAGGAGGAGAAAGATAGCGCTCAAGGTGTTCGGGGCTCGCTGGATAGGGGGGGAGCGGGATTGGGCAATAGGGGCCACGGGCTTGTACCATCTGGAAGGGTGTGTCTCCTTTCTGCCCAGTGCATAGTGCATAGAGAGCCCCGATACAGAACAAACAGGGTCCTGTCAGTTCTGCCTGGAGGGACAGAGACAGAAGGGTGGCGTCGTTGATGGAAGCGTCCTGCCAGGGGACGGGACCCTTTTCCTTCGGGGTTCACGATTGGGAAATTAGGGGTCCAGCAGCTGCTGAAATGATGGCATTCATCCACGCATCGAACTTTTCCAAAGAATGCCATGTTTGAATGCCCGAGAGAAACGCCGCAAGGTGCAAGGTTCGAGCAGTCATTGGTATTCTCAAGAAGTCCCCTAAAACATTCCAAGTTCCTTTGCATTATGCTGTTGGACCCTGGGGATCTTAGTGGTGGCTGTCATGTCGCATCGCGAGTGCTATGGTCGCAGGGAGGGAGGCCAACACAGAGTAAGTCCAGGATACTCAGCTAAGTCCCTCTCCACAAGAGGGAGAGAAATTGGAAAAGGGATCCGCCGAAAATTCGGGCAGAACATGAAACACGTTATGATGTCAATTGCTGGGGCCCGAGAGATTGAGTTGCTCCAGTTGTTAGATTTGCATTCCATCTGAAATAAAACGGCGCGGGTGGGCGAGGTGGACTCGGCTTCCGCGCAGTGGATCACTGCTAAATTAATTGCAAAAACCGCCCTCTGGGCGGCGCACTATGGCTCTCGGCTCAGATACTAGTGTAGATAGCTGAGATAACAGTGAACATTAGGTGGTGCGGGTACACATTCCTTGCTGGAGGACTCGCGCTGGGCAAAACCCCGGCTGGGGGTGTGTCGGACGAGGTTTTGCGAAAAGGGAGGGAGCAAAATACAAAGCATAGACTACTGTAAAAGGGTTAGTACTCGAGGTAATGCTTTTCAAGGCTGGATGGAGCTCAAAGTCGTTCCATCTGCAATACCAATAAGTTGAGCATCCAATAAGAAGATGGAGAAATGCGACTGTATCGGTACCGTTGCACCATAAGGCCTCTCGGCTGTGTAAGAGAAAACCGGGGCTGCAACTCTAGGGATAATGCCTGACAGATATCGAGAGTGATTCGCAACACGACGAAGTGCCTATACACTCTACTTCAGCGGATACAGGGCTTGTGGGCTGCCGCCTCGGCGCTGTTTGGCGGATTGTTCCATTCAACCATCCTGAATCAATTGCAGTGCTGCTCTAGGTACTTCGTTGCCTTCTCGGAGAGAGTCCGCGCAAGACTGCCTAACTCACTTGAGCACAGCTTGAAGCTAAGCAAGCAAAGACAGCCCCTCTGTTTTCTCGTAGCATCGATTCTGCATACACCCCAACCCCACTCCCTCTCTTCACCCCTCTCTGTTTGATGGGCTTCGAAGAACGAGCCCCGCTGACAGGGGTCATGATGGATGTGCAGGGGTTGCTTCGGAACGGATTCTGTGACGTCGGTGGCTGGCTGCACTATTTTGACGACACCAGACGCAGACGACAAGTGTCTCTTCCCCCCAGACGGAACTGCAGAGACGACAAACAATTAGGGCGTGCACATTAGACAAGTGTCGCAGCCAATTCCGGGCCCAACGCTCGGCTTAGTGGGTGAATTAACCCATCATTCACTCGTGAAGCTTCCATTGCTGCAATCTGGAAGTATCGGACCCCGATAAGACGCGTAAAGAATGTAACATTGAAAGTGGCCCGCGCAAACTCTAAGTCGCCATGCAACCTAACCAGAGCAAATGCGGCGCATCTTGACGGCCTTTGTAAGTATTAGGCAAGTCTTCAGCGCGGCCTTAGTGTAAGCTTCGGGTATCGGAGGCAGATGGCAGGTGCGGCTCCGATAAACTTCAGGTAGAGGACCTTAGGGTGGTTTGCTGGATGACTTAATCGCAGCCCTCTGTGGCCGATCTAATCAGTCGAATCCCGACGTACCACCTCGAGGTATCCGAACTTCAGGCCCCAACGGCGAATGTAGAGAAGAGCCCATCCGCAATAGAAGGGCGGTCAAGCTGCTCCAAATTGTGACCGTACTGTCATTGGTGAATGATAATATCTCCGGAGACGAGATTAATTGGGCGTCAGAAGGGGGCGGTACGGCAGGCGAAACCCGTGTGTCGCAGCAGAGGCCTGATTGCATCACCAAAACACAAAGCAGGCCGCAATGATAAGGATCCAATCCAATGGCCTGTCAAGCAGACCAGCCCCCGGCTCCCCGGCTCAGATTGCTGTTGTTGTGGTGGATGGTAGCAAGGCGCCTTGAGCACTGTGGACGCCGACCATATCCCAGCCCAGCAGCGCTGTCACACCCCGGGAGCCGTGGGTTGGCGTCAACAAGCAGGAGGACCCTGAAGATCGCCGTTGCCAATTAGTTACGGTCGATGCGGTGTTTACGTACTGTACCGCTAACAGCAGGCGGGCGAGGGCCCCGCAACCACAAATCCCACTTGAGATTCCCCCATTCCGACGGAGATTGCCATGTTCAAGGATGACCGTAGTTTCTCAGTCTTGCTGCAAGTCCTGGTACATCTTTGCGAGTGTCTACCAAGGTCAGGAAGGTTTGGACAGATCGGGCCGAGTGATGTCGTACAGAGATGGTTTCCGCACCGCGTGTCGGTAGCGCAAGCGTATTTAGGTAAGCAGTCGGTCAGGCCCAAACTACCTGCATTGCTCAGTTCAATCATGAGGGACGAGATGGAGCATTCGACCGGGTCAGTCAGAAATTGACCAAGGAGTGCAATCGGATTGGATTGGATTGGGTTGGGTTTTGCCATGTATCTAGGATGGATGTTGAGGCTTTTCCTATAACAGCGCGTCCTAATAAGCTAAGCCGTTCCGCTACACAATCTAAGAGATGGCCGCTCGTCGCTTCCCTGGCAGGCGCAACCCCACTGACGTCACAGGCCAGCACCTTCCGTCATCTGCGGCTTCCCTTCGAGAAGGATGCGGCCAACCACAAACCACAAGCCGCCGCAATTGGCGGTCCATTTCCTAGGTTCCTATCTGACAGCAAGACAAGGCACCCATCCCTAGACAAGACAGACAAGGCCTACCTACACCTAAAGGTCCCTCGGCCATGTCATCGTGGCCCGGAAGGACTCTTCCCACGCCTAGCACGCGTAGCATGGCGATAGTTCATCGTCCATGGTTCCCAATCCAGCCGACGCCGAGCAGACAATGGCCATTCTGGGTGAAAATGGCCTTGACTTCGCCGAGATGTACCAGATAGCAGCAACCAGTCCCGTGAACGAGCGACCATTCTCCCCGACCATGCAAGGACAAGGGGATAAGGGGGAAAGGCTCTAAGGGAAGACATCATCATCTCATGGGTCACTGGTGTTATCCCGCGGAATTGATGCCATCCTACGCGCAGACCTCCGGGCATGTCGCCGGTTGGACGGTGTGAGGGGGAAGGAGGAGCAACACAACACTATGCCTAACACGGCTTGATATCACCTCCTCTTCCTCTTGGAGACCGCTCCCGGATCTACCTCACCTCACATTACCTTACCTTACCTTGCCTACTGGCTGCATATTACACTCTAATTATCAGCAGCGGGGTCATGAATCTTTGACTCGTCGGCCTAGTATTGCTGCATCCCGGATTCCGCATCTTTTTAGCTGCCTCCCATGTCTCCAGCAGCGGCTCTTTT